GTTCAAGGTCAGTTGTTCTTGCCTATGTATAAGAGATTTGAGCGCTTGCGGCAAAGTCTATCCCCGGTCTGTGCAAACGTTTAAGGGGGTACTTGACAGGCATTCGGGCCGCCGATTAGGGCGAAGTCCAGCTCTTCCGGCGATTTACCCCTCAGGTTCTACCATAGAAAGGTAAGGAGTAAGCACAGCGTTCACACTTATGAGATATCCCGGCGATCTAGGATTTACCCAAAACTATTACTCTGCAGTAGTGGCTTTTCAGGCAGAAAAACAAAAATAAAAAAAAAAAAGGTGTTGTCCCCTTAACTCCCCCTCCGTCACCGTGATTTCGTGGCTGGTGTTGGGAGAAATTCTACGACTAACAGGATGGAGTAGGTTTGACAATAAAACTTGGAATGAGGTCATGCAAATCGCTTTGGACGCTACGACAGAAATAGTGGATAACGAGGAAATGTTGTCACAGTGGGCAGAAGTCGTCGCAGAGGTTGGAGGGCTTTGGCTTGCGTGTAGAGAAATCAAGTCCCGAGCTCTGCGAAGTGTGAACGGCGTGTCTTGTTGATGCGAATGGCAAACCTTGAATAGTGGGAGAATTCAATACTTTGAGCGCTGGCGCTATCGATAATTGTGGGATCAGAGGACAGCGGAAGGCAGTAAACAACGGTTGACTTAAAGGCAGCGATTACGATAAAGGGGAGCGCATCGGGGAAGCATATGCACCACACGAAGCAGTTACTTGGCTGCCAAGGAAGCGAGGTGTGGCGCTTTCACGACGAAAGGTGCGCTGGTTGCTGAGCAGGACTTCGAAAGCACTCCGCCCCCAAAAGCGATCCGCCCACTAGTTAGTTGGTGATTTGGACGAGCTGCGTTGCCAGCAGCGGCACAACTGAAGCAACTCGACTGGAGCATGGATTGGCATGCTGTCACCAAACGCGTTGCGATGAACTCGTTCATACGTCCGCTTTCTGAGCTGTTACCTGTTCATGAAAACCAACGGCCAAAAAAGGGGGTCCCGTTTTGCGTTTTCTTGACGGATTTCTCCGCTTTTTTCGCCACTGGCGTACCATTGAGCACCACCAGTCTCCTATAAACCTTCTTGAACCTATCGTAATCACTGCCTTTAAGCGACTGGGTAGGGTAAGAAACGAGGATGTCAGAGCGGTCATGAAGACTACCTTTGTCCAATCAAAATTGCGAGAGCAACGCCTGCGATAGTAATTTGCAATTGTACATTCATTTATTTCTTTCTCTAACGCATTCGTTATTCATCTACGCGCATCCATTATTGTACTCTCTAACGCAGTCGTTATCGTTCACTCATCCACGCGCAATCATTGTTTGTATTCTCTAGTACTGTTGTATTTCCTATACTCTAGTATTCACCAATTGTTCGCTATCATAGAATTGATACGTTGTATATTGATTATTTGCTGTCATGAATCTCTTCGAAGTTATATTTGTTGGCTCATACACTCATTGAATCATTTCGTTGATTCACTTCCATTTTTGATTATCTCACTCGTTGTATTATTCACCTAAATACTTGAGAAGTTGTTTCTTGATGTTATATCGCATTCGTTGTTCTTCGTTACTTGTTATTAACGCATAAATGTTTAATTACCCAAGTTTGAGCTACAAAATGGCAAAGACAT